TATATAGTTGATTGTGATTGGATGATTTCTAAAGGGTATTCACCTTGTTTCTCGTTTGATGGCTTATCTATAGACCAAGACCTTTCTATGGTCACCTCTACCAAGTTTCTATGCCCAGCTGTTCTCTCAAATTAGTGGAGAAAAAAAACCATGTAGCTTATTAAATACATGGATGGAATGTGTCCCTTCTTAAATTTTCACTTAGTCTTCTATTGAGTGTACAGTATTCAAGAACAAATATAGCTTTTTTCAAGGCCTAAGAGAAACCTCAATTGATTTTATAAATTGATTAGTATACCTTTGATGATTACTTGGGGGAATAAATAAAAAAATGTTTGATCAGAAAATAAAACTTAAAATGCCTTAAATTCTAACTAAAGGTGTAAAAAGAATAATATGATTTTATTATTATGAGAAAAATTAGGTGGAAAACAACTGAGTTTCCAATAGGAATTGAAACGAGGACCGTGCTTGGTAACTTATAATGCTCACCACTAAATCACAAACGCTGAATTGGCAGTGTTAATCCAGTACAGTACTATAGTAGATTCACTTTATTAAATCTAGCATACAATTTTTAGCAGTCTGTTGAAGTTTGAAAATTACAAAAAAAAAAAATTAAAACTGTTCATGAAACAACCCTCCATACACCGATCAAAATGTATTTAGTTGATAAATAACATGACAGATAGGATTACCGAGACCCATTAAATGTCTAACTGAGACTTACTTGGTGATCAATCAAAAATCATCAATGACAAAAATTGAAATTGAATATTTGCTACAAAATAATTAACCGTTTCAATGCTAGAATTTTTGTAATTTTCAAAAAAATGCTAGAGTTGTTTACTTGAAATGAAATGAAAATCCTTCTTTATTGAGGCGAACTTAGGACCTCAGGGTCCTTTCTTACAGTTAACTTCTAAAAAACCAAGGCCCCACTAGAAAAAACAGGCCATGCTGCAGGATCCATGACGTCACACTAGTGGATGGATTTCATTGATAAATTCGTTGCCATCACCATTCCCATATGTTTTAGGTAAATAAACAAGCTGGCTGTTTTTAGATTTTAATGGTAAGAGTTTAGTACAACTATCCACCACTGTGACACGGTGTTGCGCTACCCGCGCTGCAGCATGGCCTGTTTTTTCTAGTGGGGCCTTGTAAAAAACTAACAATAATAAAAAAACATTATAACAAAATAAAACAGCAAAGATTACAAAAAAAAAGGTTTAACAACATTACACAAATTTATTTCCCTAACATACAATCACACACACATACACCCTCTGCTGTACCCAGGCCTAATGCACGCCATCCCCCCATGCCACAGCCATCCGGTCAAGGTAATATTCTTTCAGCGCCACCGTCAGTCGGGATCGGTTTTCTAAGGATTTAATGGGATAAGGTACAGAGTTCCAAACGCAGCGTGCAGTTGCTACAAAAGATTTGTTATAAACAGTCGTCCTTTGATGTGGAATACGCAGCGTGGACGAACCAGAACAAGTATTCCTTGCGCCTCTTTCACGCAAAAATTTAAACTCGTTGGCTAGATAATTTGGAGTTCCAAGATTGATGGCAGGTTGTTGATGGCTGAATGAGTAATTGAAAGTATTCAGATTTTTCTTATGTCATTTAATTTTAAAATTGATTCATTTATATAATATGGTGTGACATGATCGTCACGCCAAAGATTGAACAAAAATCTAATGTAATAATTTTGAACACGTAATTTTGTTGCCAAGGTCACAAGAATGCTATGGTTGGCTACGATCCATAGCAAATCGTATATCATCAGTGATATTAAGCATTGCTGTTTCAGTGCTAAAATATTTACGGAAACTTGACTGAAATATATGGAGAATATTGTTTTGTGACAGAAAATCAGACACTTGGGAGTGAACAACTCTTTCTAGGGCTTTAGAGAGAGCAGTAAGAATGCTTATTGGTCTGTAGTCTTGCGGAAGGGATGGGATGAGATCTTATTCAAGGGGCGGACAAGCGCAGACTTCCAATTTTCTGGGAAAATGTCTAATCTCAGTGAGGTGTTGAATATGAAAGTTATTGTTGGGAGGAAAGCAAACAAGATACGTTTAATTAATTAAATTGGGATTCTGTCAGAACCAGTGGCATCAGAGACGTTATCCGTCTTATAGCCTTTAAAACATCAATCTGTAATACTGGCTTAAAGTTAAATTGGGGAATAGTATTAGGCAATTGATGTAATTTTAACTCAGTTAATTGGTTCTGAACTATTTTACTGTTTTCATGTGATGAAACTGATGATAAATAATTGTTAAAATCATTTAAAGTCATTGATAATGGGACAGAGTCAACTTGCTTTTTTGAATCCAAGACATTTTAGATTACGCGAGCGAACAGCAGATCATTGATTTCCTTCAGAAAACAACCTATGACAATATAGGAGTTGAGAATTACGTAAACGTTGTTTTACTTGATTTCTAAGCTGGCGATATTGGGCCATAAGCCCCTGGTCCCTAGTTCTTTTAGCTCTGTGATGGACTGAATCCCGCCGAGCCATCAACCCAATGATCTCATCAGTAATCCAAGGGACGGGGCGATTTTTACTAACCCTACGATTGACAATTGGGGTGTGTTTGTCATATAATTGTAATATGGCTTCATTAAGTGAATTGACCATATCATCAACTGACTTCAGAGAGTGTATGGAGTGCCAAGGGATTAAATTTACATCAGACAAAAAATTAACTTCATTAAAATTTGGAAAATTTCTGTAAGAGATTAATTTGGGTTTGTGCTTGGGAGCTCTCATACCAAGGGCACAATAAATGAGGTCATGTCGGGAAATTGCAGGGACTGGAGGAAGCTGGCATGGTGGACTGACAACTCGGAATCACTCAAAATAATAAGGTCTAGTAAGGTATCAGCTTTAGCAGTGTGGTGAGTCGGGTCAAGTGGGAGTATCGTCATGTTGCATGAGTCAAACTTGTTTGTCAATTGTCTGCAGTTGTAACGTCCAGGTTTGAGTAAGTCACAGTTAAAGTCGCCCATGATCAAGACACAACTGTAGCATGCGCCGAGGCATGAGGCGCAAGAGAGTATTTTCAAAGTCAACCAGATGCCCCACTCCCGGATGGCGGTAACATGCCCCCAAGAGAAGAGCATCCGTACCAGACAAAACAATTTCCAAAAAATTCGGGTTTTGCCAAGTACTCACCTGGGGACTGGTACTGGCTTGCAAACCGTCTCTCACATAAATGGCAACACCACCACCTTTTTTCCCTAAACGATCATTTCTCAAAACGGAATAGCTAGGCAGAGCAATCAACCCGATGAAATACTTGGCTTTAACCAAGTTTCAGAAACTGCAATACAGTAATTTCAAAATTTTCAGGCCGAAAAATTATTCTGACTTTGTCAATATGTTTTGTGAGCGATTGTGCGTTGATGTGAGCGGCTTTGAAATGTTTGGAGAAGGGAGGAAGGTTGTCGATAAGGATCTAAGCGTTATCAGGTGGCAAAGGAGTGGGCGGGGGATGGGTGACTGAGGCGACGCTGTGCAGGTCCGCTATCCTGGACCTACAGCTCGGACCCGCGGCGAGGCGCTGACAACACGCAATGGCGTAGCTGCAACAGACATTCACACTTGCATACATTCTACTGTCATGAAAGCTTGCAGAAAGAAAGAATTAATAAAATTTAACATAAATCCATTCCGTCATAACCAACTTGCTGAAATACAATCTACAAACACGTTAACATTCCTTTTGGCTCCTGACAAATGTAATTGAACAAAACAATCAAAATCTTTGACCCAGTTTTGCCAGACAAATAAATAAATCTACTAGAAATTAAAATAACCTACTACAAATATTGAAAAAAATAAAATAGCTTACGGATTAAAAAATAATAATACGGATTAAAAGCCTACTAAATTAATTTCCTAGCTCGGTTTGATATTTGCTAAATCATAACTTATTTCATCCCAAAAGTGCTAGGCTTGCCATGGAGGCAAAGTCTAGTGCGCAAGAAAAAAAATCGGTAGAAATAAAATTTTTTATCTCAAAAGTGCCAAGGAACCATATATTGGGCCTCGATCCTATGAGGAATCGAAAGAAACCATCCCTGTTTCGAAACAAAAACCGAGTCAACTTATATGCCCATTTAAACTAAAAAAACTCATCGAAAGTCATGCTGGCCCGATATCATCACTTAGCACTTTTTGGATGAAAGGCGTTCAATGATATATAGTTCCATAAAACTTTTTGGGAAAAAGACGCACAATATATTATTCCATAGCAGGGAAAGGGTTAAAATATTTTACAAAAATCAATTTATCTTCATTATGTGGCATTCATTATGTGTAGAAATAGTTATTTGTGTATCTAGTGTGCGAAGTGGCACTTCGCTGCACATGTGAGAAATGTTTACGCACGAGCCGCAGGCGAGTGTGGAACGTTACTTAAGTGCAGCAGACAATTTACGCTTGTGTTACATACACTTTATATTTTTCCATCAGTTACTATAAGGCATATAAATAGTAAGTCTTTCAAACACTATACAACACATTTTTAGGTTAGGTTAAATCCAAGCACTGAGCGAAATGGGAAACACTGCACCAGCTGATCGTAGTTGCCATCTTAGTTTCAAGCTAACACGTATTGAGGGCCTCCTAAATATGTTTTGTGTTGTTTGGTTGGAATACTGGTGTGGGGAAAAAATTAATGCGGCAAAAGTAAGTAAATATAGCAATTAGCTACTTGGGTGCTATAATCCATGCAAGGAAGCCCACTTTGTCAGGTAACTGTCCAAATGATCAGAAACAGCGGGGTCCAGTTTCAAACCATCATAAAGCTACTGAACTTTTTCAGGATCGAACTGGCGATCTTAAGATTGTTAGGGAACTCTGCTATCCAGCCACATGAGAAAACAGCTCATCTTAGCTCAAGTAAAAAAAAAAATTCTAGTTCATGTCTTGGGTCATTCTATTTCTTCACTTATTAATTGTTCTGTTTTAGGAAATTCAACAATTGATGATTGGAAGTTAGATCCAAGAGATGAAAGAGGATACTATCTTCAAAGTACAACTAAAGGCAAATATAAAAACAGAAGATGTCCTAATTGTAACCAACGAGGTCACCTGATGCACGAGTGTCCCAGCCCTCGCAAAGTAGCTACGTGTTATCTTTGTGGTTTGAACTATCACACTGCTTACTCATGCCCCAACAAGATATGTCAGAAGGTAGTGTGTTAGTTACAAAGTTACATGTGTTGTATATAAAATGGGTTTAAGATCCAGAAAACTTCCGAGATGGACTCTATCATCCGCGCTGATATTGCATCTCCGGAGGAGGCAGGAAGTCGATCAAGGGCGTTGGTTCTGCAGCACATGATTCACGGTCCTTGTGGTACCGATCATAGAACCGACTTTCCTTGCTGGGACACTGAAAAAAGTAGCTATACGAAATTCATTCCCAAAACCTCCCTGCGAAACGACCCACGTAGATGAGAGGGGCTTTGTTAAATACCGGCGTGACTACGATAACGAGGGCAGCATAACATCAAGATCTATTCCTGTTCATGACAGCTAGGTCGTGCCGTACAACTCGGCATTGCTCCTCAAATGTGAAACACACATCATCTTAGTAACTTCCACTCGGTGTGTGATAAAGTATCTGTTCAAATACCTTATGAAGGGCGGCTCGCTTCAGAACAACCAAATAGGCGTCTTTTTTCAGCTGAAAATTTAAACAAAATCTAAACAACATAAAAATTAAGAGAATTATGTACATTATATATTCTGTGAATTAGAATAATTTAAATTTAATAAACATTTCCCTTACATCAGTATAAAGCACTAACCTATCTATTGCATTATATTAAAATCTAATGGTCTCCGTCTGTGTGTTAGACTCAATCACGTAAAAACTACTGAACCGACTCGGCTTAAATTTTACAAAAATATAGCTACTGTACCAAGGATCCGTTTAGGACTACTCACTCACACTTTGATACTGATCGAGGGCTTTGCGGTATTTATTTTAAAAGTAAATATTGATGGGTCTCCATGGCTGCAATGAGAAAACTCACAATTTTTACATTTCCTATGACATCTCAATGTGAACAAGTGGTAACTGTCAAATTGGTTATATTTTCCAATACCACACAGCAGACTTGAGCAAATAAAATATACAGGGTGTCCCGTAAGTAAACAGCCAAACTTCGGGAAATGGTTCTATGGGTCAAAATAAAGAGGAAACAAATAATATTTTTCCCAAAATTGCTTTGTTAACCTGAGATCCGCCATTTTATATTTTTCATTAAACAATAAACATTATTATCTTTAGATTGTTCCAACCGATATTTATGAAACTTTATATGTAGCTTACGGTAGAAGCGACCCATGTGAGAAAAGAAAGTTATCTTGAGCCAGTTGTAAATTACAAAATGGCATCCATTTAAACTTTATTTAAATTACAACAAAATTCCTATAGTTTATAAATTTAGTCGTGGGTTTGGGTGCCTTAACTGAATACACACAAAATACTAGGTCATGCTTGGATACTGCTGGAACTGGAAGCTACCCATGATGTACAATGTCTTCAACATCCAATACAGTAATACGTACTATTAAGTCAAGAAGAGTGTCAGACTCGGCTCATATCTTACATAAGTTGAACAATGTAGTCAGTTGGCTTTTTTCATGGTTTTGATTGGTTGAAAGTACAGTCTAACCTTGATAAAACGAACCTCGATATAACAAATTCCTTGATATAACGAATTTTTTTTAATCCCCTAGAACTCTCCATAAGACACAATGTATATTTTACCTCTACATAACAAACAAACCATAACAACGACCTTGATTTAACGAAATTTTGTGATTTCGGCTAAAATAAGACACCTCAATATAACGAATTTATCATTGTCAGAACCTCTACATTGCGAATTTAACCTCTGCAGGGTGTCTACCAGTCGGGAATTCCGGGAAATTCGGGAAAAAGTCGGGGATTTTGAAAGGTCGGGAAAAGTCGTGAAAAAGTCATGAATTTCGGCCGAAAGTCGGGAATAATCTAACTTTTCAAAATTAGGGATGAACGGGTCCCAAAACTTTAAAAAAATGTTCTGGATCTTATATTCCTGATCATTGGGACGGGATTACATTTGAGGGGTGGGGGATGAAACGAAAATGCATCGGAATTCCAATTCGATTCAGTGATGATCAAAATAACGATTTGAATCATGGGCATTCAGTGTCCATAATATACGTTTTTGAATCAGCATCCATACGTTATGGAATCAGTATCTATATACGGTATTGAATCAGTATCCATATACGTAGTTGACTGTTACATTGATAATGTGACTTTGACTATCAGTATCCATATAACTTATTGACCATTATTCAAATGATTGACATTAATTATATAAGTTATTCACTGAGACATTGCTTAGCCATACAAGTTATTACCATCCAAGTACATGGCATACACTGAGACATTGCTTAGCCATACAGGTTATTGCCATCCAAGTACATGGCATACACTGAGACATTGCTTAGCCATACAAGTTATTACCATCCAAGTACATGGCATACACTGAGACATTGCTTAGCCATACAAGTTATTACCATCCAAGTACATGGCATACACTGAGACATTGCTTAGCCATACAAGTTATTACCATCCAAGTACATGGCATACACTGAGACATTGCTTAGCCATACAAGTTATTACCATCCAAGTACATGGCATACACTGAGACATTGCTTAGCCATCACTGAGACATTGCTTAGCCATACAGGTTATTGCCATCCAAGTACATGGCATACACTGAGACATTGCTTAGCCATACAGGTTATTGCCATCCAAGTACATGGCATACACTGAGACATTGTTTAGCCATACAGGTTATTGCCATCCAAGTACATGGCATACACTGAGACATTGCTTGACCATACAAGTTATTACCATCCAAGTACATGGCATACACTGAGACATTGCTTGGCCTTACAGGTTATTACCATCCAAGTACATGGCATACACTGAGACATTGCTTGGCCTTACAGGTTATTGCCATCCAAGTACATGGCATACACTGAGACATTGCTTGGCCTTACAGGTTATTGCCATCCAAGTACATGGCATACACTGAGACATTGCTTAGCCATACAAGTTATTACCATCCAAGTACATGGCATACACTGAGACATTGCTTGGCCTTACAGGTTATTACCATCCAAGTACATGGCATACACTGAGACATTGCTTGGCCTTACAGGTTATTGCCATCCAAGTACATGGCATACACTGAGACATTGCTTAGCCATACAGGTTATTGCCATCCAAGTACATGGCATACACTGAGACATTGTTTAGCCATACAGGTTATTGCCATCCAAGTACATGGCATACACTGAGACATTGCTTGACCATACAGGTTATTGCCATCCAAGTACATGGCATACACTGAGACATTGCTTCGCCATACAAGAAGTTATGTATACCTTGTAGTTCTGATTCTATCCTCTTATTTTATCAATGTAAACCAATTGAAAGATTCAGTATATAAATCTTACAAAGGTTTTTATTTGTTTACACCCAAACATATCTTTATTTATAAAATGAATAAAATAAAATAGGTACTACTAATAAGTACTTAATAAGTTCTACTAATAGGTATACTTAACAACATGATGCTGCAAGTAAAAATTATGGAATAGGCAAGAAGCTCACTGATATTTCCAGAAATACTGGTTCTTCTAATGTATGATTGAAAACAGATATTTCACTCCACTGAGAAGTATGAATAGAAAAATTCCATGTTGCTTCGAATCGAGTTACATCAACATTTTTTCAAATCGAATCGTTGCTTTGAGTTGAAATGTTTTGCTGCTTCACACATCCCTACATTTAATACGGGATTTTCTTGGCATGTGATACGTTTCGATCGTCAGTGATTTCGCTGGGTCGTAAGTGACAACATATGTTGACGAAGGTACCGTGACCGCGAGACAGAAAAAGGTGTAGTAACATGGAGAATGGACCGAGTTTTTGGTCGGGATTTATATAAGAATGGTAATGAAAAGTCGGGAAAAAGTCGGGAATTCCATTTGAGAAATCTGGTAGACACCCTGCTCTGCATAACGAATTGTCTACGTCTTTCTCTCGATACAACAAATCCCCCACCCAATTATTGTTTTGGGAAAATCTGTTTCTTTATCAAATGAAATGGAAAGGTCACGTCATCGCTTGCGCTAACATTCGTCTGCTCCGTTTTACATCCTTTTGTCTGCTGTCGCTGCGCGCGCTATGTTGCAACTGAAAACTGATGTCATTCACTGACTACTGATGACGACGTAATGTTTAGTAAGCTGTGATTGAGCGATATGGGATAGCTATGGTGAATTGTACAATTTTTGGATAAAGAGAAACCTAAGAAAGAATATAAAAACAAAACCAAAGAGAAAGAATAGCAACATCGTTATTTTCACATTCCTTTTACGAGTGTTTTTATTATCCTTAAGTTGGCTATGATTATACACTTTTATAATGACTTATCTAATATTTTTTTTGTTTTCAATACGATTTGTTTCAACTAAGCAATACTAATGCTATAGTAGATGATTATTATTGAGATTCCTCTGTTGTGATAAATCAGTACTGTACTGTAAGTAGCCTACCGACCTAACACGAGCAGTAACTTACAAAACTCTCTACTGTTTTGTTTTGTTCTTTACGTTGTTTATGACTATACAATACAGTGTTTGGCTAGGTTTTAGGAGGGTTAGATTAAGCTGTGATTTGAAACTTACAGTTTGTAGCCTATGATCTAAAGTCCTGATCAAGACATGACTATATCCAAATAAAGAATTTAAGAGAGCGTTTTCAAAATCCAATAGATTGCCTGCTTTAGCTGGACGATAACATACACCTAACAACAAATTCTCAGCCCCAGATAGGCTAACTTCAATAATTAAAAATTCCGGTTTTGCCGAAATTAATTCCCCCCCCTGATATAGACTGTAACACCTCCACCCTGCTTGACGGTTCTATCAATGCGCTACAGAATATAACCAGGGAGGTTCCCTTTCTAAGATGGAATACTCGGATTTAACCACAACTCAGAAACTGTGATTAAATCAAAATCTTTGTATCTGATGCAAGCATTTGGGTAAATTACATTGCACAAACAAATACCCCCGCCGCAGCAAACCTGCAGACTAAGCGAATTTCTATTTGC